TGTGTATTCAGATATGCAGTTAGTCATCAAATTTTTATAGACTGTCCTTAACAAATACACTGTATAAATTAATTTCAAAGTGAGCATTGATTTATAACATTTGAAAAATGGAGAAATTTTACATCAAACCACTGTTATTTGTCCCCGCTATAAAAAAACTGCCTAACGAACCATGTTGTAAAACTGCATTTGCGTTCGCAAAATATTGATGCCATTTAACTCGACAGGCTGTGTTAACGTTAATGGAATTGGCGAGCATATATAAGGATTACGGATAAGATGTCCACTAGGTGTTGCCAACAGGTAGTCCGCTTAATATATAAAGAAGTAACATATAAATTTGAAGCTATAGACTCGTAAGTTTCACTGATGAAAGCACATCCTAACATTATTGGGAAGTCAAAGCTGATAAACCTTCAAAAAACTTGCCTGGGCTAAAAGCAGGTTGCTGCACACGACGCATTGCTCGTGCTACGTTTATTTTACGACCATTGAGATCGAGCTTGCCGTCGCTTGACTAAACAGCTAATCAAGACATAATTAAAGATAAAATACACAATTTTAAATAATATTGTCTAAACACGTACAACAATTAAAAATGAGAATATTTTCTGTGTGGTGCAACATTAGCAAAACTCAAAAATGACTGTTTAATCTTAGCAGTCAACAACACAGTGGTAACAAGCCTTTCCAAGTCCTGGCTTCTGCCTAATAAGGCACGTTGGCTGTGTGATAATCTCTTACCTCATAAGTAGAAATTTGATGCACTCAGTAATGACCTATTTCGTTCGATACAAAAACGCTGTTATCAGATTCGCTGAATCAGCTTCAGCCCCAACAAAACCCTCCAAAGCCTTCTGGAGCAAATACTACGTCGCCCCACAGTCAGCCAGTAAACGGTAGATCTTTTTAGCTTTCACTTCAACAGACCATTGCTTTATTCTGGTCCGAAACTATCAGAGAAAAATAGGAATTGAAGACATCAACACAGAGATTCTAAGTTCACAAGAGCTTCAGTAACACAATATCGAGTGAATCCGAAGATCAAGAGATCAAAAAAGTCTTCTACGTACTCCTTACAAGTCCTGAATCATGCGAGTTTTTTCGTAAATAACTAACTGAATTCAAGACTTATGAAGAGGAAATAACTAAGACCCATAACTTTTTAAAGATATTTGGAAAGCATAACTTCACGACGTCGCAAACAGTAACAATGTTTCATTCCTTTTCAGAAGCATCTAGCGTATTCCTTTTATTCTTGTCCGCACCCCCTCATCCCAAAAAATATTTCCACACAGGAAAATTCCATCAACCTTCAGAAAGTTTGTTAGGGTTACATCACAAATGCACTACCAGACCGCGAACATTACCACAATCAGATAACAATCAGGTTTTCCCATCCAGATAAAAAGTCAAATGACAAGCAACTGCCGATAGCAAATTTTTTGATCAGCAACTATTTTTCATTTCCAATGACAAACTGGCTTGAAGCTCAGTCTTGAAGCACTAAAAAAGCTCTCCTAGTGCTGAGCTGAGATCAGAGCGGCGAATACATGAAATACCCACTGTTCTGATTTCCATTTCTTTTCGAATGCAGGAAAGTGACGAGCAATTATCCGATTATCTAAGGATAACCATATTTCTCCACGTTCTTCACACTCTGTAGTAGTTAAATGTTTTTTTGAGCTGGTAATTAGAAGTGATAAAGATAACACTAAAAAACAGCTTCTTGCACTTGAAGCTTTGCGCGGTCTTACTGGAACAAATGTGTCAAAATTCAAATTCAAAAGTATAAAACTATAAAACTCTATCACACATTTTTAACTGACAAGATTAATTCTTCAGTTTCAACTGTATGCTGCTTGAAAGGTACACATTTTCCGCGATGTCTCCACAAGTTATACACGTCTACTAGTAATTATCGTTTTAGATTTAAACTTTACCATGCCCACAATACCAGCAAATATACGATTTAACTTTTGGATTTTTCAGTTTTAGGGCTGTCTCATTAAGCCAAGTGGTAACCCTCGCTCACTAAACTCTACTGCCAAAGAAAAATTAATACATTTGAAATTTTTTATAGCTGGTCTATCTTCTCACCTTGACAAAAAATTTAAAATGTTCCACCGACTAACTATTAATTCCGTAACAGTGCCTCTCTACCTCTCTTTACAAACAGAGTGATCATTTAAAAACAGTAACTGATAGACTGAAATGACATTCCACATATCCTACCAAGTCAATAAAAAAAAATTGTGCGTGCTTTTGCCGTATCTGATGTGTTTCTAACTGGAATAAATAAAATTTCAAACATAAATATTCCTATTTCTTAGAAGATTTTACTTACAAGGCTTGAAATGTACCTTTAAGTACTTCAAATGAAAGAACTGCTGGTTCGAGAACTATACCTTCCAGAACAGTCAAAAATTCCACAAGCGTTTCTTATACCCTCGTTGTCATACTAGAAGCTACTGCCATTTTTTCGACAAGATTGCAAAATCATGATTGTTAACTTCACTTAAAAAACAGCACTCAAGCGTCATTAGAGTAAGCTGTTAATAACGGCGATAAAACTATCTGGTATTACTCAAGATCGCTAGCGTAGCATAAATTTCCTCGACTGGTAAGACCCAATCCATAAAAATGCTTAAGTTAATTTTCTATATCAACATGACAACTGGAAAAGCTTCAAACAGAAAGGATTAAGAGTCACCCAAAGGCCTACATACGATTCTTCACCGGTTGCCTGTCCCGTAAAGAAAACAAGACCA